GTTCGCTCATAATTGCCCCTTATTCCTACCCCGGGTGCCACCAGTTACCTCCACCATTAAGTTACTTCTCATCTGTGGCATCTTCTCAACTCTCCTCCAGTTCCTTTTACCTGGCTTATTTCTGGATAGTAAGCCAATATTCTGGTAGTGTTCGTTCTCCTTCAGAACTTTCAGTAAACAAGCCTCTCTTGTTCTGCTTGATTTCTCCTCAAACTGGCTTCAGACTGTCTTCACTCTGCTTCCTCACTCTTCCTGTGCAAGTACCTTGTTCTGAGCCTCCTACCACTTCGGCCCTAGGACCATCCATATGCTGGGTGCAGGGGCCCCAGCTTGATCTTCACCCTGCAATCTAGGCAAGACATCATGTCTTGAAACCTCATGGCCTGAGAGTCCAGCCTGTAAGTCTTCAGGTGCTTCCATCGTTTATTCTCCTCCCGGACTGTTTCCTGAGTGTCTCTCACTCAGTCTCAAAAGACCTTGCTTACTGCCTTGGCCATTGCTGTCACTGCTCAGTACATCATTTCCGTGAATGACAAATCCTTTCCAAACAAAGCCATCTGTGTATCAAGCCACCTTCTGTATGCCTGCCCCATTTTAGGAGACCAGATTTTATAGTTCCACTACATTTCCAAGGATGCTAAAATCACTTATTGCAAAAATAAGCAGATTTAGTGAAGCAAAATGCAGACAATATGAAGCATGTAGAACCTAACCACTAAGAACATATGGAAGAGATTTTTTTAAAGGGCAACTGACCAGTACAGAATACTTTCCTGGAAATGAGTGTGCAGGGACTCATATCACCAATGGAATGATCTAGAATTACAAAGACTGTTCAGTTTCATCAAGGCTGCCAGGGGATGAAACATACTCCGATGGAGCTGCTCAGCAGAGCCACTGAAAACAGGCCCCCATGCCACGATCCTGCACTGTGTCCCTTGTCTCTGGAGCATTTGCCCAGAGAGAAAGTGACTTTTATTGGCAATGCTGCTTGTACTGTTTTCAGCATTCCATACACAGTCTCCTTTGCGTGTGTCTTATATGGAATAGTTTACTGCATTTCATTTTATGCCCAAGGCTAGATTATCAAGGATTGAATTGGAATTTTCCATAGTGACTACAATATAAACTTCAACCAACATTTGGACATGCTGTTATGATATTTTAAAAGTTTCTTTACTGCAGTATTGGCTGAAATAGTGTCACTTATGTGGATGTACACAGTGTAAAGATGAATGTCTGGCCTTTTTCTTTCTCAGACTTCCTAATATCAGGATGATATGGTAAAGAGACATGTCTCTAGATGGACAGTACTTGAATTATCACCATGTACTGTATAAAAGCAATATTCACTGATAATGACTTTGGAAAGAGTTATTTCTAAATCCATCTGAAATATGATGGTAGGCAAAAGGTTTATAGAGTAAGACAGACACATAATTCCTTTTTGTCCCTAATAGCTGCTTTTCGGTATTCACTGTCAATTGCTGGGAATACGTAGGCAGTAGAAAGACACAAGGCTTTGGGTCAGTGTTTTGTTTTAATTTAGATAGTGATTGATACTTTGATAGTACTGTTAAATACCTCAAGATCCTTCAGCTTACTCATGGTTTGAATGAAGTCTGGAGTGGGTACAATTCACATTTAAGTCCTGATGACTTTAAGCAGAGAGGTTCTCTAAAAGAAACTGTTAGGACCAGGAGATGTCTCTGCGGTTACAGGGTGCCTTAATCTAAGAAGCAAGATACTTAGTTGACTGGAGATATCTTAGTGTTGTAAGGATCTCAATGTATATATTTTCAGATATCACCCAAAGATTAAAACTGTCCGTCAGTCTGGCTTGCAGAAAAATAGCACAAATATTTTCTAAACATCTTGTTTTTAAAAATTATGATGGGGTCCCTGCTACTAGTTTGAAATATGTATTTTGTCTTTAATGTGTAAGATAGATACATTATAAAAATAACTGATTAAAATCATGAAGTTTACTCTATTTGCATTGATTAGCTCGAGTGTGGTAAAGGCTTCTCAGAATGTTGGTATTCGAACTTCATGGGAATGCACGTGTTGTCAGGTAATATCAATCATATTAAAGTTGTGCTTTAAAATATTGAAGGCACTTCATAATGTTATGAAATATTAAAATCAAATATGTGAGGAGACTAAAAAGGATCTGCTTCATAAATTATGTCAGCTAATTTTGGGTTGGAGAATGTAGATCTCAGTGGAATTATGGAGGATACTTCACATTTATGAACAAGCTGCTTAAAATATTGGTGCGTGTTTTATCTAGGGAGCCCCTGTAACCTCCTCATTCCCCACATGATCATGTTTGCCTTCGCATGTACAACTGGTGTGCTTATCCAAATGACTGTTAGGGTAGCATCTTTCATGTGTATCTGCTCAAATGTCTGATGGACTGGCTCAGCATCTTAGGATAAAAATCCCTAGTGAAACCTACTGCTCTTCTGAGTGAATGTGTGTCCATAGAACTGCTGCTTTGTGATATGGCTGTGATCACATTTGTATCATTCTCTGGGAAACAACCCAGCCCCAACATGAGTCTGCCTCTCTCTGAGAGAATTCAGTTGTTTCTCTAAATGAGACAGCCATGGGTCGGAGCAAATAAGAGAATACAAATGTCCAGCCACTTAAATAAATCTGTCCTACTGCTCCACTGTGATCAACTGTTATATGAGAATATTTTTATTTTCTGCTTATTTCATTGTGTAGGACCCTTCCTTTTAGATGGATGTATTTCATGTACAAGTCTTCCACTGCATCATTTATTATTATTTTTTAAAACAAAATTTCTCAGCAGAGGGAGAAACAAAGGACAAAAACTTATCTATGCTCTCACAGGGCCAAAACAATTGTAGCAAAATAAATAAACAGATAAATACATCAAGTAATGGAATATCCAGGGCTTTGTAAGCTTGTTGAGCTAATGTGGAACTTTGTAGCTTCAGCCTTGTAAGCCTATTTCTTTATTAATAAGGTTTCTCAATAGAATAATGGATCTGATTTAGTAAAAGTTTCAAAGTCTTAATTACAATAGTAAAATAAAAGTCACAGCAACTAGTAAAGTTTAAAGCCATGCTTTGCTTTTCAAGGGCATCCTATCTTTTAGAGGTCTTTCCATTCACTATAGAAATGAAACTGAATCACCCTATCATTTTAAGGAAATGATAGATTTAGTAAAGAAACCAAAACTCTGTAGATAACATAATTTATGCTAAATCATGTAATTAGTGATAGCTGTGCTAGACTTTTTCCTCCAAATGTGCCTTTGATAAAACGCATCATGAGAGCAGTGCCATCTAATGTAAGTAGTAAACATGGATAGTAAATTATTAATATCTGGTGAGGCATGCAGATGGCAGGACTTCCATATTTTTCCTTGAGCTGCTTGTGCATGTTTGTTAATCACTCTTGCAAAAAAAAAAAAAAAAAAGAACCGCAAAGATAAATATGTACTTTGAAAAGTAGCATTCAACAGGATGTGAATATAATAAATAGCACAATGTGACCCCCTCTGCCTAGTAAAATGATGGGAACTTTCTGCACAAGCTGTAGCATAAGCTATTTTAGTAAGGTTATGCCATTTTCATACATGCACTACTCATGAGGAATGGCCTGAGTCTTGTGATTTGGGTGGCATTTTTAAATCAAGCCCCCAGCACAGTAACCTTGACAGCTCCCTGTATGGTATATGGAAAGGTAACCCCCAGGCAAGTCCTTGTGCAGAGGAAAACCTTCAAGCCACTGACCTCGACCCTCTGCTAGTCAGAGCTAGCTAGCGATCTTCTGAAATGATCACTTGGTTGCTAGCCAAGGCAGGGCTTACCCAAAGTTCCTTCCCACTCTTGCCAGTTTCACCTCGGGATGCTTGGGCAGAATTTCAGCACCTAAGCAGACAAGGTCAAAAATAAACTGCTTCACTGCTGCTTCTGGCTCAGGGGCCCAAGAGGGCATCCAGCCCCTCAGGAGAGACCTGCATCAGGAGAGGAGAAACAGGGACCTGTGCCTTGATAGGGAGATAATTTTCTCCCTTATTTACTCCAGGGGCAACTCTCCTCCCCCACTCCTGGCATCTCTTTATCATGGGCTCCATCTCCCTGTGGCATATTTCTGGGTAGTAGAATGCTGAGGTCACAGGGAGAGACTCTGAGCAGTGGAGACGCCAGCCAGAAAGAACCCTGAGCATGAACCAGCAAGACGCAGATTCTTGCTCTTGACTTTGAGTTCCAGTCCCTGCCTGGCCCCTCGCTGGCCCAAGGCTCTCTCCTCTTTCCTGCTCCACCGGCTTGCCCACTTGCTTGGTCTGCAGCGTTGGTTGGTTTCCCAAGATTGTGCAGATCAAACTACTGAGTGCCAGGGATCCGGGAGTCCGCAGGCGCCGACCCCAGCCCGCAGCCCCGTAAAGGTGCCAACTGGAGCAAGCTAGGAGATGGACATTTCACGTGGGATCTGATTTTTCTGCTGCTAGCGCTTCATCTGGGAAACCGGCGCCTGGGGTCCTCTGCTCCGACTTATCCCCTGCCCTTCCCCCAAGTTAATCAGCCATACTTGGCAGTTCGCTTTAGTTTGGAAAATACTTAAAAGCCTCGAAATGTTCTGGGGAGACGACTGCCCCTGGGTCCCCCCCAGTTCTGCCTCACTAGGGTTGTCGGGCGTTCGTTCACGAGATTGTGGCGTTTGTGTAGAATCCACATCACGTACACGCATCCCCGCTCCTCGCTGGCGCTGGCCAAAGTTGCCAGACGCCCCTAGGCTACCACGTCGCTCCAGTTGCAGTTGCATAACCTTGCCCCCTGCCCACTGCCGACCTCTCGGTCAGCTCCTGGCTGCTCAGGCGGGTTCTGGCCCAGGCGAAGCCGGTTTGAGGGCAAGTGCGTGCACCTGAGCTGGGGTCGGTGTCTATCCCGGCGGTGCTCTGCCCACGGCCAAGTGCAGCGGGCGCTGGGGCGCGGGAGGAGGGAACGCGGGGCTCGGCTTACCTTCCGCTGCTTACAGATAAGTCGAGGTCGGTGCAGCGCCTGGCTCGGGCATGTCTCGCCGCGGACCCTGGCAAGCCTGGCGCGGCAGGAAGCACTCGGGGCAGGGCATCCGCGGCAAAGCTCGCCCGGCTCGCGTGGCGGAAGGCTCGGCTCTTGGTACTTGGCCGGCTGCGCTCCCGCCGCCCGCCCCCTCCACTACCGCCGGCCCGGCCCGCCTGGCCCGGCCGGCCCCCGCGCCGCAGCTCGCGTTCCTCCGGCCCGGCTCAGCGACGCCCGCGGGGAGGTAGCGGCTCCGCCGGCTTCGGGGACACCCGCGCGCTCGCTCGTTCGCGGCGCGGCGGAGCCAGCCACAGCCACCCGGCTCGATGCTCCTCCGATGTCCTCATTTACTGCAATTGTCTTCGGCGAGATCTCAGAGCCCGGGCTGGGGGACGGGAGCGGGGGCGGAGGGGGGAGGGAGCAGGAGGGAAATCCTTGCCACGCTCCTGGGTCCCAGCTACTCCGCGGAGCCCGGCGGCCAGAGGAGAGGGCGTCCGGAGCCGCACGCCAGTCTGTCGCCTGTGCGCTCCGCTAGCACCGAGGCGGGCGGAGCCCCGGGCCCGCGGAGGCGGGGCGGGGGCGGCGCAGGGCCAGGCCGGGGCGCGCGCGTAGGGTGGGGGATCTGGCGCTAGTGGAGGAGCTCCCTCCCGCAGACGCCCGAGTAGGAGCTGGAGAACGTGGTGGAAGGAGCTGCAGCTGGCTGCTGCCTGCGCGCGGGGCTCCACGGCGGCGCGTCCTCGAGGTTTTCGGGCTGCAGGCGGCGCTGCGCAGCCCAGGAACTTGTTGAGTCTGTCCTGGAGCCGCCTCCAGAGCCCTGGCAAGCAGGGGACCCTGTGTTTTCTCTTAGGAGGGGTCTCTGGGGCCTGGTTTGATGTCTTCATGCGGTGCGCGCTGACCTAGCCTATAGGGACTTTGAAAACTGGAGGCTCCAGAGACTTAGCTGGGGAGTGTGGGGAAATAGATACTGGCTCCTTTAACTGTAGATTGCTTTTTTGTGGAGGCTGTAGTCAGTCTCTTACCTGTGTTGGGTCAATCTGGAGTCTGCTCCTCCAAATGAGGACTTAGAGGCAGACTAACTTCAGTGCTCTGAGGATAGAATGGGAATACTGTGCTCGGAGTACTCCAGAGCGGGCACCACTGCTGCTCCTACGCAGAATTCTCCTGTCCATTTGCCACATATACCACCCACATGCCTGAAGCCACAGGATACTTACTGTGTTTGTTAGGGGCAGAGTTGAGTTATTTTGGGCAAAAGATCTTTCCAGGCTATACAAGGCGCCTACACAAGAATACCCCTATCCACAAGTCCAGAGTATTGTGTCATCTGAGCTCTGACCACACAGCCTATGGTCCTCCTGATGCCTGGAAGTCTCTAATACCTGGGCCTGGGACTATGGATGTGGCAGACTCAAGTCTTCAAGTCCCCTAAGTTTCCTTTCAGAGCATTCTTGAAAGTAACTACATTTATTAGTATGAATATTTGCAAGGAAAAAAACAGAGAAATGTTGGACCCAAGAGCAGTGATGGGTTGGGGAAGATGAATTTGAAAGACAAGTGGTTAAGGCCCTCTGCCCCAACTTCTGCAGACATGTCAGGGTTCTCACACTTTTACCTGTGTATCCTTGAGTCCCTGCCCTGAGCACCAACCCTGTACCCCTGTGACCTAGCCAGGCTGTTGTTCCATCCTTGGTCACTGAGCTGAACTGAGCTTAGCACCCTGCTTTATGTAGTGTCTGTTCTTTACAAATGGCTTTATATGAAATATTTTACTATAAATAAGCACTTTGGCATGATGTGTGCAGTCATTAGAATATCCTCCCTTTCCATGTCTCTGCAGCCTTTTGAGTACTACCCTCCCTTGGAGATCTAGAAATTCCCAGGGAGTCCATGCCTTCAAACTTTGGCCAGCCCTCTTTTTTTTAAAAAAATGTCTTAACTGAATCCAGATCTCCTAAGTCTGATTCTCATCCCTTTTACTTTTCTCTGTGATGAAGGAAGCAATTGGGAACAGACTGAAGAGGCCTATCTGATTATGCATGAACAGCCTGCAAACCTGCAGCTGCTTCTGTTACCCAGAAGGCTATCTAGGATTTGGGGACATTTAACACCAGATGGCAGTGGTTCCTGCTATTGACCCCCTTTAAATATTCCTTTTGTAGATGGGCTTTTGCTACTGTAGGCTCCAGGGGTTTTCAGGAGGATAGGGAACTTTCTATAAAACTTGTGTTACTGTAGATCCATAGAATCTAAATCTGCCTTCCATCTCTTAAACATTCCACTGTAAATAAAGCTCTAAGGAAACCTGGAAATGGTGCTGGGGTAATAGAAAACTAAAGTTTTAAGGTCCATAACTGGAAAAGGTTAAACAAAAATGCATGTGCAGAAGGGCAGCATCAGCCAGTGGTGGCACTGTGAGGTGACAGGAAAAAATCTCTGAGGAAGGTGTTTTTTGAGATCCCCCTGGTGTATGCATCTAGTAGGAAAATGAAACACTGTAATTGGCAGGCTATAAAACCCACTTATATGAAGAGGAGGATTTAATTGAGCTTTGTAGCCTCATCAGGACTGTTTTGAGTTGTTCAGTTGCCCAGTAGACTTCACTTGCATCACTATGTAAATCATTGGTACCCTTTCTCTTTTCTGAAAAATTCATTTACCTGTTGTACTACCAAAATACCAGTCTTTAGCATCACAAGTTAGAATCATGATGATAATTTTCTCACCAGACCTTTGGCCACTGATGGGTGTTCCAATGGATGACTTCCTTGCACCATCATACTTGCATCTTTAAAACAAAAGGCGTTAGAGGCTGACGAAGGGTAAGGTAGCTATTTCCCATCCACAGACCTTCAGTGTGTTATCATTATTTTAGTGGACAGAATAAGTGTATAATTTTAGAGTGTAGAATAAAGTTTTTTAATTCACCTTCCTCAGAAAAAGGAATGATATGATAGTAGAGTCATTGTAGGAGTCAATAAACTTTAAATTAGTTTCTTACATTTTGTTTCAAATTTTTGCTTAAAAAATGACAGGCTTGCAAAGGGAAACCTCCTAATAGGGATTTCCTAAACACAGAAGATTCTAGAGATAGAAATAAAAGGAAGAACAAGGCAGCAAGCTGGTCAGAATATTCCAGTCTTCTTTTGCCTTCTTGGAAGTATAAATGGGTTGTTTGCACAATTGCTGGAATTCCAATCCCATATTATACTATGTTCTGAGCCTTGATTTCCACAAAACACCAAGAATATACAAGTAAAAGATATTCAAGACTGTTCATAATAATTTTGTTTGTATTAGTTCCAAGCTAAAAAATAACCCAAATACCTATATACATATATAGGAATGGATAGACATTTTTGGTTTATCCATACTGTAGCAGCAGTAACAACAAAATCATTAGCTACTATACATGCACAGTACGGAGGGCTTTTAAAAACATTGTACAGAACAAAGAAGCCAGACTCAAGAATATATATCCTTTGATTCATTTAAGATGAAGTCTAAGAATGCAAAAAGACTCATGTGTCAGAGTGGTGGTTGCTTTCAGGGAATGGTATTGACACAAGGCCATGGCACCTTCATTGGTGCTGGATTGTTTTGTGTCTTGAATTTGGTACTGTAGTCTCATAGTTGTATGCATATATAGAACTTCATCAAGTTCTCTTGTTTCAGTTTGATTCCATTTTGTTTGAGCATAGCCACTGAGTCATTGCAGTGTCTACACTCTAGTAATTCATCCCTTTAAAGGAACCAGCTTATCAGTCAGTAAGATTAACTTGTATCTACTGAATTCACTTCCTCTCCAAAATCTGAGGTAAGGGAAAAAGAGAGATGTTTGCAGACCAGCAGCTGCCATGGATAAAATGTCTTAAATAGTTCTCCATGAAGCTGTTGATGGACCCTTGCCTTCCTTACTCTTAGATGCATCCAGGCCACAGAGTTCATGTGGAAATGATTTCCCCACCTTCCTGCTTTAATGTTCTGGAGTGACTCTAGGTAAGCCTTAGACTGTGATAAGCAGGTTATATCCTTCACTTTAGAAGCTGCAGTAACCATCAACCTGGGTACCATTCTACAAAGGAGAGGGAACTCACATCCAGTACACCTGTAGGGTCAAGATTAGTAACATTAGAACGTTTTACTTTATCTTTCAAGAACAAGAGGGGTAGAGTGTTCAAAAGGCACTCCAGCCAGCCCCCATCTTTGTCTGAGAGACCTGTGAGAAGCCCTTTAGGGTGATTCCCTTCATCATACTGGACTCACACATTCACTGTCTGCTTTCTGGACTCCTTCTTATAGTCTCCCTTGTATAAAGTTCCCTGCCTATGACTCTACCATGGTCTTGGTATCTAAGTTTTATTTCTTTCCATAAGATACAAAGCTATGTTTCTGTGTGCTGACCCATTCTGTAGGATGTTTCTCACCCCTAGTTTTCTTTTCTTTTTATAATGAGAGACTAGGGATGACTAGAGTTAGTCCCAAATACAGTTTGGGAAAACTTGAATGTTACAAGGATTGGTTGAAATCCCTGGGTTACTATACTATTGTGAACATAATTTTCTATAAGGAATGGAATTGTTTCGTTTTTAAAGAGAACAAAAGCGATTCTAGGTTCTCTTTAACATACCATAGAACAGTAGTGGTGACCAATGAGAATGAGCAGAGGGCGAATATATGCTTCTGGCTTCCCCTGCTACCTTCAAAACTCTCATGTGCAAGACTCTCATCAGACATAAAGACTTCTACTCCAAAGTCAATTGCCTCTTCTTTCTCCTAGGTTGACTCACCAAGGAAATAAACACATACACTCCATTTTATTGACCTTAATTTGGTCAGTCTGTGAGATGAATTCCATAGGGTTTTCTTAGTATCCAGTGGTTTTCTTATTATCCAGGTCTAATCTATTAAGGACCAAACCTCTTCAGGCAGAGGTGGATGGCTAATGGGCTTTTCCTAATCCCTGCTCATAATGCCACCCATCTCTCTGAGCCTGCCCAAGCCAACTTCTCAAAAAGAAGCTCATATGCCCAGGCCAAAGAGTGATACCTTTGACCAGAAATAGGTTAAGAAGGGATAAAAACTGCTTTCAAATTCCAGTGTCCTGCTAATCCACATTGTATATGTTAAGGCTGTTCACTGCCCTCGTTTTTGCAGTCTATCCTAGCACATGAGAGGTCTAGGTTTGGCTTGAGGGGTTACAAAGAGGCTTCAGGTGTTCTTACAGCTGTGTAGTATGGCAGATAATTGTCTTGAGGTGTTTGCAATCGGAATTTCCTTGTTTGCCCTTTTTTCTCACCTTAGAAGTCATAGAAATGGAGGCTGGATGGGAGAAAGAAGATGGAATAGACAATGGAAGCCTGCTTAGAGTCTGCCCTTCCCCTGCCTCATATCCTGTTTGGATATGAAACTAATATGATAATCCACCTTTGCTGTAGGCCTGCAGCATGACAGGCGTAAATGCATTGTGCATTGTTGTCTTTTGTTCTTACAAGACAAATAGGAAGAAAAGTGTGGAAAACTTTCTCCACAGATACAGATCAGATAAGGCCGGCAATTTTTCCAAGCTTACACGGTTAGGAAACAGTGGAGCTGAGATTCAAATGCAATTCTGCATGTTGTTGCAAAACTACCTGCTCAGGTTTATTATTTTTGTCTGTTAATTTTGTCCCATTTGAACTAAGCATTACTTAGCTATTATGGTGCTAATTGAGGAGTGGCATTAAAACTACTGGAATCCTTTCCTGATTCTTACCT